TTAAACTAACAAGATTTGTAGTTCATATCAGAAGAGGATATCTACCTGAGAAATCAAAGGATGTCGAACATTGACTTGAGGATATTTATAGAATATTCTAGAATAATAGAGTCTGAGAGCTATCCGCTCGCATAGTCCCCTTCGAAAAAGCTATGTAGCCTTATAAAATTACTTTATAAAAATGGTATCCAACAGAATATACATATTTCGTTCCAGGTTGACTCCACATACACTCGCATTTTTAATCACTACTAACTTCATTACTGCCCTATTATGTTCATAGAGCTCGGCGCCTCTCTCCCATAGCCTGGCCAACCCTCTCTACGCCATCTCAGCTAGATTCTTTTCTCCGTCGCGCCCTTGAATACCGTCTTAGGTTAATTATTCCTATCCTCCCAGCCTGGCCAGCCGGCCTGGCCCTGCTTGCCACGCCACAGCACGTGCCCGCCTCCATTGGCTTGGTCGCACAGATAGTTGACGAAGTCTGGGCATCTGCTGGTGACAAGTCGACTGATGTGAGTTTATTTTCTTTTAGTATATGAATTACTGGCTTCTTGGCTGCCTGTTTTTATGAGATGTAGAAACCATACATACCTACTTGCAAATATTTAGTCGCACTAATATATACTAAAGACTTACATTACTACCCTAAAGTATGCACCTTATTCAGTGAAATTTGCTCTTTTTTATATTATGGCCTCCAATGCTTGCAAGCAACGAGATTAATTCAACTTATCAACCCTTGGTTTCAACTTACAAAAAATTGAGCCTAAAATACAAGAGAACAAATGAATCTATTTATTTTATTTTCTCTTTAAACAAATATCATAATGTTTTTTAGCTTTAAATTTTTATGAAAAATCTAGGATTTGCTTGGATCTGCGTTTAGTCTTACATTGAAATTGCTTCTGTTATATGTAATACATGATCATAGCTAAAATCATTCTTATATATGTATGAACTGTGTTCACTGAGAGTTGAATTTTCCCACAATGATATGAGTAGGTTTCACAATGCCATTGAATATTACTTTGCCTTGCCTCGCCTCCTAAAAATGCATTTATCCAAGAAGAACTGCAATTTTGGCTTTGCCTGGGTTTAATCTCAACCCCTTAAGATGCTCTAAACCCGGTGGCGCAGCGTTTATTTTTAAAATATTTTCACTACGCCACTTTGTTACAGGTATCAGCGAGTCTCAGGACAGACGTATATTTCAGAGCTAGCAAGACGTTTTGCACATTAAATTTTGTAGTGAAATTGTCGAAGAAGCATATTTGTATTTACTATTACAATCTACTGCGTTAATTTTATTTAGACTGAGTAGGTTTTGAAATTACCAGTAAATATTGAATAAGAACTGTATTTATTCTATGTCATATAAAGTGATGATAGAGTGCTATCTGCCTACAAGGATATAAGTAGGTTTCATGATGACATTATGACATTTCGCGACTAGGCATACTCAATCTTACCCTATGCTACGTGTTTCTCTATGACTTAAAGTAGTTTAATTCCAGATGATAAACTTAGTTGTAGACTATCGAATTACGATAATTTCATATATCGTTTGCTTCATCCTGGAACACTGCATGCATGACAAAATGTTTATCTTGACACAAATCAAATTTGGGTTTTAATTATTGATCGAAGTTGTTTATGCGGAGAAAATTTGGGTTTCGAGGAATCTCTTGTTTCATAATAGTTGAGCTAACTTCCATTTCGAGTGAAAGAGTTTGGTGAAGACATTTGAAAGTCGATTCCACCAGAAGACGACGGCGGATTTCTTTTGACCAGCTGTCGATTGGCTTTATTGGAACATTTATGGTGACGCTGTTTCCGAGGTAATATCCTTCGATTCCAGGGAAATGTGCTACGCTTTCGTCCGTCATATGACGAACATCATCAGAGCAAAGTATCATCGTCACAACCAAATTGAAGCTAATGAGTCAAGAAAACTCACCGGCAAATCCCAAAAAAGCTGTATATATACTCTATATCTGGTCTCTGATCAGATGTAAAGTGATTTGGTTAGTTACGGTCATATGTCAACCTCGAAGCCTGTGAATGTGTCTGCATCTGTATGTGTATATGCCTGCTTGTGTTAGCTTATGCACATACACATTCAGAGAAAGACACGCTCACAGGCTTCGAGGTTGACATATGACCGTAGCTAACCAAATCACTTTATACCTGATCAAAGAGGCCAGATATATAGTATATATACAGCATTTTAGGGATTTGCCGGTGAGTTTTCTTGACTCATTAGCTTCAATTTGGTTGCGACGATGATACCTTGCTATGATGATGTTCATCATATGACGGACGAAAGCCTAGCACCTTTCATCAGAATCGACGGATATTACCTGTGAAACAGCGTCACCATGAATGTTACAATATAGCCAGTCGACAGCTGGTAAAAAGGAATCCGCCGTCGTCTTTTGGTGGAATCGACTTTCAAATGTCTTCACCAAACTCTTTCACTCGAAATGAAATTTAGCTTAACTATTGTGAAACAAGAGATTTCTCAAAACCCAAATTTTATTCGCATATCTTACGTACGTATGGTATGAATTCTTATCAACTTTTTTTCTGGCTATACGAAAACCAATAAATCTATATCGAGGCAAGTCAATACTATTAGATTTTAAAAAATTGGTATTTCACATCATGTAGTTTCTTGTTGATGTATTCTTTGTAGACGTCCAGATTTACTTATTTCCACTAATAGGCAACTGGTACATGTATCAGGTGGTTTGGTTAAGACTATACTCAAAGAAACTATACACAAATTACATGACTTGATTGGAACCAGAATAGGAACTATACAATCCCTTTCTTTGCTATTTTCTGAAGAAGACTTTCTCAAATTGCAGAAAAAGATAGTCAGGATGGATTAAATCCATAGATACCGACATGATAAGAAATAAAGGAATTTTGGCATTAACATCAGCTCAAGGAATCGTCGAAACAATAAAGAGGTAGTTAAATTTAATACTATTTTTTAACAAAAATAAAGAAATTTTTTTTATCCAGTATACTTATAAATTCTAGTGTTACGCTCGTCTTGGAAGGGGGTCTAAATTTTGCCTTTCCAAATGGGAAAAATCATTCTATACAGATACTGGTTGAGTTAATTAACTTAACGGACGAGCTGCCAAAAGAGTCTAAGAATAGTATAGAAAGAGAAATGATTCCTCATTTTGATGAAGTAATTATCCTAAAGAAATCTTAAGGTTTTTAGATACTTGCACCAAAATGATCTGTTTGTCTTAAAGGCAGATATAGGTGGGGCAGTGGTCATTATGAATAAGTTAAGTCAGTGGTTTCCAAACTTATCCTAGTCGCGGCGCCTCTTCAATTAAAATTTTTCCATGGCACCCTACCCTAAGTATGACTATTCGTAAGTAAGAGATAAAACTAAATAAAATTCGTGTATCTTCATTAGCTTTTTTACTTTATCAACATTAAATTAATATTTAATAATAATTAATGTGATGGATAAGCCTGCAAATCACTGCACATTTTCTCAAATTGGAGCTTTTAGAATATTTCGCGGGGCTCCTGTAAACCAGCTGCGGCATCTATCGTGTTTCTAGCCATAGTGACAAGTCTATGACTTCCTATGCCCTAGTCTCTTGTGGGCTAACTCGCAAATTTCGTAGTTTTACTTGTTTTGATATGGTCCAATGTAGAATCACAGCATTTGTGGATTAGCGGACAAGAGACTAGGGCATAGAAAGTCATATACTTGACACTAATGATAGAAGCACGATAGATGCAGTGGAGATTAGAGTTAGTTGGCTAACAATTGACGTGCTTAATGGACCACGTCTATGATCAAACGGAGTTAGAGGGAGACTCTAATAAGACCAATGGTAAGAGGATTGCGGAATAATATGGCAGACTTTGATTGAAATTCCTAGCATAAGGGTGAAGAGGGGTGGGAAGGTGAGAAAGTCAGCGTGGTGTGTGGAGAGTTCTCATGAAATCCGCTCAAAAAGGCACGCCGTACCACATTTAAATAAGAAATTGTCATAGTGAAGATGTGCTACGAAGATATAGGATTGGGGAATAACCCAGGGCATAAGA